ACACACACACACACACACACACACACACACACACACACACAGGTCTTGCTTGCCTCATCAGCAGCAGAGTGGGTCGGCTCACTGCTGCAATTCTCTCTGTCTCACTCTCCCTCCCCTCATGCATATCTCTTTCTCCTAACCTGGAGCTCCAGCTGCATCGGGAGCCTGCAGAGCAGTGAGCAGGACAAGGGACAGTACTAGCAGCAAGCATGTTTCATGCCACACCACGGAATCCACAACACTAACAAAAAAGAGCTTCAGCCCGTTAACTTCCAAGAACAGAGAAGAGTACAGAGCATTGCAGCTGAAGCCAGAGGACGAGACGACAGAAGAAAAGGAAAGATGACGGACCAACACTAGAAAGGACGAGGTGAGTGATTTGAAATAGAGAGACCCACTTACATATAATGGGCAGGGCAGAGAGCGATATAATTCTGAATCTGGTTAATGCAGTAAACTACTGTAATGTTATGGTGGTCCAGAATGCTATTCCCTGCTCCGTCATGGTGCAGATTTCTCCCTTTTAGTATTCCATAGAAAGTAGCATTATTGCAACAACCACAGAAAATTAGTGATGTAAGGCACAATCACAGCAGAGCTTCATCTGCGATCATCCAGCACAGAATGTAACAGTGTGAGGAAATTTCTGGAAACATTTCAAGGGTGTTAACATGCCCAGTAGTCTGCCGCTTTAGAGCACAAACACAGATGGTTTCGCTTTTTAGTCAGAATGTCTGCAGTTGCGGAGAGATGAAATTTGTGTTGACCTGAATTGAGTGTCACTGCAACACTCTGAGCTCTGGTCCCACTGGCAGAGTTTAAAGCCGTTTGGCTCTGAGGATCACCTATAAATGCACCAGGAGTCCTACTAAAGACTGGGACTGGTCTTAACCTAACAATCAGTGGGGTGGTTTGGGTTTAAGTCAAGTGTCCACATTTTTAAAAAATGGCTGTCATTTCCTCTGCCATTTACATGCATCAGAGAGTTATTGTTCTCTAAACTTCTAATTGAGTAGCAAAAACAGAGGTATTACATGCTCATGACAACTCAAGGCTCATGTTAATCACTAGTTCAGCTAGTGCAGTATTGTAGCCTCATTTTGGGTGGAATGAAAATCTGAAACAAATAACTGAGATTGTTAACAATCCCAGAGGAAGGACAAGACCATGTTTGGTGTAAGAAATAAAATGTATAAATAAACCCTCAAAAACCTAATAAAACACAGATCATGTTGCGAATGTTGACTGTCAGGATACAGTCAAAAAAACAATGAAAAAGGAGTAGACAGCATATGTATAGTTGTAAACCTAAACATTGCGGAAGACAAAAAGAAAATACAAAAACATGAAAACAATGGGCTGGCACACAAGTCAGCAAGCTAGATATTCTAGTGACATTTTAGAAAAGTAACACTACTACTAATAGACTTGGGCGATATATAAGATTTGTTTTTTTTTAAAATCTTCATACCTGCCTGACATTTCATGGATATATGATCTAAATGGTATTTGTATCAAAAAAAAGCTGCTGGTGATAGAAGTCTTTATAATATGTATTATAATAAACGCCCATCTTCCACAGATTCTGATTGGTGGACCCAATGACACACGGTGGATGCCAACACATCAGAGGGCTGAACGGAGATGAAGTAAGGGTGAAGGTGGCAAAATGGCCTTAGAATAAAATCATGTCCCTATAAACTGTTTTGGTCGTTAGAAGAAGTGATCTCACAATAAAGCTACATGTAGCAAGTCATGCACAGGTCGATTCAAGGCCTGCAGGTCCCACAGGCTGATCTGTGAACCACACAGGTTTGGCTAAAATGCAGCAAGCTTAAAAGATAATGAAGATATCCTGTGTACTAAAGGCTAACATTGGCATCCTTGCATTTTTGCAGCGGCACTGTTAATAGGCTTAAGCAGATGATGTTTACGATGGTACATATGCTATATTTGTCGACTAGCACTAGACAGCAGAAACTGATGTGAATATTGTCAGTTTTTCATAAATTTAAAACATCAGGGCAAATCAGGATCACCTAGAACCATGAAGGTCTGTACCAAATTTACAACATATAGCCGTTTTCAGACATAAACCCCATTTTGTTAACACCAATTTAAGTGTCAGCAATCTTATTAAGTCAGACCTATTAACATTTCCATATCACTTTCAATACAAGTCTGAACTGAGCTGTGACACAAAATTACAACACAACTTTCCTCACCTATTTTGATCTAAGATTTCAAATCTACTCGGCTACAAAATTAAATGTCCATCATAATAAAACTTACTGCTGTCGTAACACTAACAGGTGAAAGATACTCATCAATGATAAAAGCAATTTGTTTCCCCCTACAAAACATGAGCTAAAATATGTTGCTTCAAGCTATTTAGAATTATTCCCTCAGAATTTATTTTTTTTTAATACCTGCAGCATCAGACAGCAGTAGGATTCATATTTGTTTCTCCAAAGGTAGAAAGTTGTGCACATTTGCGCAAGTAGAACAACAGTGTTGGTAACTTAATAAGTATTAATGAGTATCATCCCAAGTGAGCATGAAAAACAGATCAATCTAGGCCAGGATTCAAAGGCAAATCATACAAGGTAGGCCTACCTGTCTTCACAACAGAAAAGTGACAAATACATACAGAATGACAATTTTAAAGTCCAGTAGTTTAGTACCATTTCTTTGTAGTTTATTACAAATCTGCAGTATCAGACAGCAGTCGGATCCAAATGTCTCCAAAGAGAAAGAGAACTGTGAGCATTTACGCACAGAGCAACAGCAGTAAGTTAATTAGCTAGTTTTATTTTGAAATTATAACCAACACAGCGAAAGGATCGATCAGAATCTAACAGCAGGTTACTCATCACCTCAGTCAGGTGAGCTGTCAGAAAGGGTCAGTTTGTCATCTGCAGTTTAATACTTCGTTATAATTGCAGCCGTCTTTAGGTTGAGTCCTGAGATTTCTTTTTCACTGTTTAAGAAATCAGAAATAAACTGGACTGTTAGTAGTTTGGACACTTTAATCAGCTACTATTAGTTTAGATTTAGTTTGTGAATGACAAATAGCTCCAGGCTCTCTCTGACACTGGACTAGGGTGCCGTCACTTTAACAGATTGATGAGGCCAGTAATGTTCCATGTCCCATGTCTGAAAGGGGCTTATAAGACATCCAATTTTCCCGTCAAAATTTCAACACGGAGCTTTTAACACAAAAAGAAGAAAAAACAGACTTTAAACTATAAAACCTGTAACATTGTAATTATCACAATTCTTAACATTTTTTTTTTTTACACTGTTTCCTACAATCAGTCTAAGATACCTATCCTCCAACTTAATATTCGTCTCATTCCCTAGAACCCTGACCATGCCTGCGTGCTCTGCTTCTCTGGTCTGCCTGCTCCTCCTGCTACTGTGTGGGCTGCTGGGAGGTTTGGTGCTGTGTATCTGCCCCTCTGTATGTTCCTGCAGTGGAGGTCACCGTGTCGTGGACTGCTCTTCACGAGGCCTAACCAAGCTACCGCCTGGTCTGCAGCACAACATTCGCTTTCTCAACCTCTCATTTAACAGGTAAGCGGCTGCACCTCTACACTATTATTTACAAATGACAACTAATAGATTTATAAATAAGAAAGAGCTTAGCAGAAACAGAGCACAAAAAAATGGGTTAAATCTATTCTTTTCCTAAAGAGGACAGAGCGAGAAAAAAAGAGAAATTTGCCAATGGTGATGATGTGAACAGTTTGTCAGATAAAAATTTGGAATGACTATAGGTGGTCAACTGTCAAATAAATTTAGCTGACATCAAATCTTTAGGTATATCGTATTAGGTATTTTTCTGTTTATTTTAGATTATTACTGCACAGTGACTGCTTGCAAACTAGCTTTGTTGGCTCATAATTATACTGTGGTGTTCTGAAGGTCACAGTATGCAGGACTTGACTGTTAAATATATGTAGCTGTCTAAGTCACTAACAACCAGATCATTGCCTTAAATAGTTATACATATTGTATTATTAAAAAACAAACAAAAAAACCCAGTAAGTTAATATAGTGCATCTGTGAAACTATTAAAAAAAACAAACAAAAAAAACCCTCTTTCTTTAATCTGCAAATAAAAAAGCTGAGCTCACAGAAAGTATACACATATGTACATACACATATGTACACGTATACATCTGTATACACACGCACACAGCAGTACCTGGTTGTGTGACCAGGTAACGCCTCTTATTTTTTAAATACCGTAGCAACCAGAGAAGGCATGATTTGCCTGCCCAGAACTCACATGTTGAAAACAAGCAGAGATCAGAAGAGCAGAGTTTCTATATATGTATCATATATAAAAGAGCTGTTTGTGATATCTCTTCATCAATAATCAAAATTATATGGCATATATTATATACACTTGTGTGACAGTGGGCGTACACAAAAGATCAGGCTGAGGTAGATGTCGTTACCAATAAGCGGAAAATAGTATATATATGTGTGTGTATATGTGTACATACACATACACATTCTTTTATATGCAATACAATACAAATCAGGTCAAATGTCCTTTGACTATTTCTACCTTAACTAGGTGCTTTTGGTAGCCATCCACAAGCTTCTGGCAAGTTTCTGGTTGTATCCTTCGCCAGTTCTCTAGAAAGTATTGGTTCAGTTAACTAAATTTGTTGGTTTGAATTGTTACTTCAGTACAGTAGAGTTCTTAATGGGGTTTCAAGTCAGGACGTTGGGGAGGCCAGTTAAAACCTTAACTCTACCCTGATTTAACCGTTTTTGGTGTGTTTTGGTTCATTGTCTTGCTCGACCAGTCAACTGCATCCAAAAGTCACCCTTCTGAGACTTGAGGTAATCCTCCTCCTTCATTATTCCATATACACCAATGTGATTTTGGGATCTGGAGAGTCAATACTGTGAACTCATTACCCCAGACCCAATCACCACTTTAAGACTAAGCACTGGTTGTGAGAGTTTGAGAGGGCTTGAAACCGTAGAAAAAGGAGCGCAGCACATTCAGAATGGGTAACATTAGGATGTCAACGTAACTACGTCTCTCAACGATACTGCTAATTGATGGGGAATGGTGCTCTTCTTGGTATTTTGGATTATACTTTTTTGTAAAAAAAAAACAAAAAAAAACACATTAAAAACAAGTTTAAGATTGCCTTGTTTTCTCATTGGCACTGTATATAAATTAACGTTCTTGAGCAGCACATTGCAAGGACTGTTTTGAACTAACCACTATTATATACTATAAGGTGATCAGTGAAATTTAAAATAAATACAATAATTATTTACAGCAAAGAAGGCAATTGTTTATGCAAATCACTTTACAGACATTTAGGTTCTGTTGATGAGAGTAGTCAGAGCACTGTGGACAGAACCACAGGTTTTAATCACAAAATAAAATTAAACTCTGCAGCATTAGATTAGAATTGAAAGCTCCATCCTAAACAGATATTATTTAAATGTCACTACATTGAGCTTACAAAACCTCTTTTACGCTTTATCTTTATAAAATGAACGCAGGGCTTTTTCTTTTACCGTTTAGTTTTAATAGTTTAAGGAGGAAAACAGTTTAAATTCTTCTACCACTAACACCAGCATTCAGTTAGAGAAACAATGAATACAAAGTAAGACAGAGTTTGTCTGCAGCCTCAAATCACTAAAACCCTGCTGCTCTGAAACGGAAATTCTGAATGACAGTACAGATGATGTTCTGAATTTCAGATGGAATTTCTGAACACAGCCACAGTTAAACAAATGGCTGAAGAATGCTTGCTTCTATGCATTAACTCATGTTTGTGCAATTTAACTCCTTGTGCTGGTTACTAGCATACACAACATATCTGGCTAGTGAGGGATGAACTGCAAGCTCAGCAGTCAAACTGTGCATTCCTGGTAACTCCCTCTTTGTGACATTACAGTGTGTATCCATTTCAGCAAACTACCAAAAGTCAGAAAAGCCATGAATCCCATTTACTGAAAATACAAACAACTCATGAATATGTGATAAATTACCTAAACAGAAAGCAACCAGATGCTGCCACTTACAGATTACCTTCCTAGCAGATTTCTTCCCCACACCATCAATGTTTGGTTGTGTATATTTTGTGGAGAGCAGGACAACTACTTTGTAGATTTTATACATATACCAATTTTGCTACGAACTATGGGCAAGTCTCTTAGGAAAAGCTAAAGACAGGAAGACTCACAGAAAGGGTGCATGATAGTGTTAAAAAGTCGATTTTTCTGCACTTGAAGATTTGAGAATGGAACAGCCCTGAGCTTTCACACACTTGGCAGGAACACACCTGAAAGTCCATGACTCCGTAAGTGTGGAGATTAACACTGGGCTTTGTTGTGTTCCTTGAACTGTTCCTGACCAGTTCTCTGCAGTGTGATGGAGCTTACTGTACTGCTGGGGAAGGATGCTGCCATCAGGCAGCGCCAAGAGGGCTTGCTCTGTAATGGGGATCGACCAATATGGGTTTTTTAAGGCTGATGTCGATTTTGATTATTGCTGGTTGAGAAAAGCAGATAACGAATATATGGCTCTGATATTAAATGTTGTTTATAACAGCATGTGATAGCAGGGAATCTGTCATTCATAACTAGGTTTGTTATTGACTATTACTAAATGTATACATACATATATATATATATATATACATATACACTAAATGTTATTTATTAAAAGTATGTGATAGCAGTAATAGCAGGAAACCTATCATTCAAAGCTAGACTACTTTGTAAATAAGGGTTGCTATTACTGAATAAGTGCAATAGAAACAGGAGTAATGACACTGAAGCATCACATGATGTTACGAAGCTCTCCTGTTCACTGTGAGATTAACTGATTGAGACCAATAACAGTTTGTCTCCTGCAGTTATATCTGCTGTTCTTATCTGGAATCAATGACCATTCTATCACTTTTATTGTCCACTAAGGTTCATATCTTAAAACATGTTATTTATTTTTTTCCAGGCTCTGTTTCAGGGCAATCTGTGGCTGCCTCCTAAAGTAGCTGCTAGCTGTTAGCATAACCGTAGCCACTGTGAAAGCAGCTAATGTCCTGACTTGTAGTGATGGCTGTGCCTCTTGTCCAGTTTTTGCAGGTTGTCACTCAGCTAGAGAGACGTGTCTGTCAGGTAGAACAGAGTTGTACAGTTTGTCTGACTTTAGAATGACGTTATGTGCTCCAGATAGCGTTAGCTGCAGTTGAAGAAGCACAGCTAACATCTTAGCAACAGACATAGCCTAGCACTACCAGCAGAACCAGGTCCAACTGCACCACTTGTTAAGACCTACAAGTGAATTACTGACATCTTTCTGTTATATTAGGAATGTTTGTGGAACTCTGCAGTGTTTATTACACATGTAGCGTTTCTGCTACCTCACCTTCCAAAACTCAAACTTGCTGGCGCATCACTGCTCTATAAATGCACTACAATGTCTGTGCTCTCTCTCTGTAAAAACTAACTGTGATTGGCTGTTACTTGTGACATGTAACAACCAATTGATAATAATTGATAACCGATAATCTAAAAATGCCAACTATCAGCACCAATAGTTGGCTGGGCCGATAATCAGCCGATTCCTATTCTGTAACAATGTTTAGCTGAGTGGTACATGTCAAAATAACACCCGCATAAATGGCAAGACCCAAGGTTCCCAGCAGAACATTACATTGCAAAGATATGACAAATGCTATTCACTTCACCTGTCAGTGAAAGATTGGTGTAAAGTTGAATAGACACATATGTGAATAGGTTTCTATATTTTCTGTTGTAGAATGATAATTCTAATTTTTGTTTATCATTGAAGGTGTAACAGGTAGTGATGGTTTACTATCCTGCTCACAACTGATATTTTCAATTTAACACTCTTCTGTCAGCTTGCAGGATCTGGACGGCCAGCTCAGCCACTATGCCCACCTGCGAACCCTGGACCTGTCCTACAATCGCTTGGAGAGCCTGCCCCCTGCCTTACCACGGTCTCTGTGGGACATTCGAGCAGCAGGGAACCATCTACGCACCCTGGACAAAAATGACACAGCTTACCACTGGAATCTGAAAGTACTGGATTTGTCAGACAATGAGCTGGAAAGAGTGGTCTTCATCAATAACACACTCTTAAGTCTACACGCTCTCAACCTTAGTCATAACAGGTTTTGGACTGTGCCAACAAACATGCCACACAACCTGGAAAGCATTGATTTGTCACATAACTATCTGGCGCAGATCATACCTGGATCATTAGATCGATTGCAGAGGCTGGCTCAATTCTATCTGCATGCTAACCGCTTCTCATGGTTGTCTGAAGGAATCTTTGATAAGCTGATTGGGTTGGAGATGATAACTCTTGGGGATAACCCCTGGGCTTGTGAAGAAGAAGAAAACATAACAAGGCTCCTCAGATGGGCTGAGCAAACCCATGCAACTGTCTTAGGTTGCCCCTGTTATACAAGACCCATCTGTGGGAAAACTCATCTGGCAACAACAGGAAAGCACTCCGCTCTGTTCACAGAGCCACCACTCTGGGTTAACAGCAGAGGTGAAAGGCATGATGGCCAATCACCTGCAAGGACTGCAGAGGTCACGTCTAGCTACCAAGCAAAATCTGCGCTTTTTGAGACTGGAATTTATCAGGACAAAAGAGATGTGAACGAATCTGAGGACCACATTTTATTTGTCTGGACGTCTTCCACAAGTTTTAACAGTTTCTCTACACACACAAGCACGGCACAACCACAGTCTGCAAGCAAGAAGCCCAAAGTAGCTAATTCACGGAATAAAGGGCATGGACTACATGTTGACACTAAACAAACTGTCACCCTGACTATTGTAGCCCTGATGATCACATTCACCATCTTCTGAACCGTCTTGACTGGATACAGATCATAGCATCTACCCAATTATTTTGGACAGTTAACAAATTACACTACTTAGCACCCATACTTTGAGTTTCCTTGTAAAAACTCTTGCAACTATTACTGCTTTATGTCAGTCAGCACACAGCGCCTTTTAAATTCCTGTACACAAAGATGACCTGTATAAAGACAAAAAGCTACTCAAAATATTGAATACATGATTCAACTGGTGTGTTAATGTCGATACTCAGCTCTTAGCATAAAGTAATGCTTGCACATTGACAGACGACTGTGCTCTATGTTTTCTTCAAAAATGTGATGCTTGTGCTACATTTGCCCTGATGAGCCATTTAGAACAGGAGTGGCCACTAACAGTATATAACTTTTTATAGTTCTCAGTGGTCGTATTGGTTCACTCTTTCACTAAGAGGTAAGGAGACTAAATGTACATACAAAAAAATGGGCAAAGTTACCAATAAAGGCCCAGTTGTAGAGAAAACGTTAGGAGTACAACATTTTCTACAAATTACAACAGCATGATGCAAACTCCCATAATATAATGGATGCATCATGTAAAACAAGTAATGTAACATGTAACAAAATAGACTGTAAGAAAAAATACCAAAGCAAAAGAAAGAGAAAATTTGGTTGAAAAGACCAGATGGCCCATCAGAATGTCAGCAAACAACAGTATGTTTCGTGTTATGCTTTGCAAAAGTTCATTAGATCAAATCTTTCATTGTTGTGTCATTTTTAGTCAGCATAGTCATACTATTATTGCTGCTTTTTTTTCGCTAAAGTCAGACGCCGGGTTTTTCAAAACTGGCTGATAACACTTTTGGTAATCTGTTGTAATAAATATCAGTTTTAGGTAAAAAGGGTACCCACTCCATCAGCTGCAGTGGTAACTAGACTGGACAGCAGGGAAGAGCAAGAAGTCTGGTCTGGGTCAGGAGTTGAAGGGCTGACATTGAAGGCACTTCGCAAAACTGAACAAACAAAAGGGTGGGGCAGTTCATTGCTTTGTCCACATTTCCACTGCATTTAGGTTGACGTAAATGAAAGACTATGTTTGTAAAACTTCATATTTGTGACTTTCCTGGCTGATGATTTAAATTTGGAGACCTGAAGAAAAAAAACAAAAAAACTGTTTGGATTCCCTCCCAATAAAAAAAGAAAAAAAAGTTAGTGGACATCAGTGGTAAAACGTAGAAGAATTCAGCACGCCTATCAGCATGGTGAACTTTAAACTGAAACTCACTGGGGAAAATCTAAAGCACTGTTGGTCTACAAATCTCAAAAAACTCACTTGCCGCTTTTGCCACTGTGATTAAAATGATGGACTGTTGACTTTGCCCAGATTCAGTAAACATTCTTTCGCAAATAAAAATAAATGAATACGAATGCAGCTTGACACTTGGTCATTTATGAAACAATCTTTCACAAACTAAATACAGATCCAATCACAGCCTTATCATAGCCTCCCTGGACACACTTGTCCATGTCTTTGTTGCTGAGACAGATGGACTTAAGATGTCTGTGCACACAAACAGATCACATAATGCAAAAAAATAACAATAATAACAGACGACATAATGGATTTCAGCAATTGCATAGTGGTTACAGTTCCTCTGTGTTGGCACATAGGGATATCTAAAATAATCCAAACTGATACTAAGGTTGTGTCATGTAGGATGGCATTACCTCAAACAGCATCAAGCTCAAATTTGGATTTTTTTGAAACAGAAATCGTTAGGGTAGTTGCTTTTGATAGGTGTGTCCATGTAAGATATGTAAGTGCATAAATTGCCAAGCTGTAAAAATGTAATACAATGCAGGCACAGGATCTTCAGCAGGGGTCCTTTCCAAAACAAGGTTAAGTACAAACTCAAAAATCGAACCCTGACACGAGGGAAAACTCTGGGTTTTCCATTTCAGAGACAGACTTAAAGTCTGAGTCAGTGACTGAGTCCCTCTCTGACTCCTCCTATTCTGCTGAGCATGAAAAGCTGCGTGACACACCGTTTCTTCTTCACATTCATACACTCAATAATACATTAATCTGCTTTTCGCCTTCAGGACATCAAAATCCCAGCTAGACAACAGATCATTACCAAAGGACCATTTAAGATGGCCGTTTTTACCATCCTTTACCGTGTTTTCTTTATAAAACCTTAGGATATAAAACCCCTTAATTAAGTCCTTGGAAAGAGGAGTGAGGTATCTCATGACAAGCCCAGCCACACTGTCCCCAGAAGCTCTTCTACACTACGCCAGTTTAGACTGGCAGAAAACATTATGACCGCTCCCTAGAGGAGAGACGTCCTCATCCTGTAAGGGCCTGATGCAATGCCTTATTTTCCGTCTAAGTAAGCATGCCTCTACCTCGCTCCAGGCAATGAGGGATATATGGTAAGACATCTCACTCATCTTTCAGTTTTAATATTTTAACCTAACGTTCTTTTTTAACATTCGTATTGGTATCTCTTTATGGGATATAGAGATTTGAGGTTTTTTTTAGCCAGGGCACTGCTGAGTTTTGATGGCTCTATGTGAGCAAAATGTGAGGATGCAGTAAGCTGGTCATGAGTGAACTGTATATCTCTAGTTTAAAGTTCCAGATAAAGCTAATGACTTGACAATTGCTAAGACTTGACATAGGAATTATTATGCTCAAGCTGTTGTCCTGATACTGTGGTGGGCACTGTAGTGGACTATATTATACTGTAAGGTGTTTCTAATATTTTGTCATGCTCATACAGGGAATGTCAAAAATATTAGAAACATTTTACAGTATATATTAAAGAATGCAAGAAACACTACAAGGGTGTCTAATTTTTCTAGTCACTCTTTACTGCTGTTATGTTTTTGTATCTAGTGTGCAGACATACAAAAACGTGTAAGTGGGACTTGCTGAAGTCCTCTTCCATCTCTCAACAACAAGTTAACAGTTACAATTGTTTCGTACGTTTTATTCAAACCCATATCATCAATACTACCAGCCATTCTCCACAGTGCTTTTCCTACTGATACTGCCATTACTAACATGTTCAGGGAAAGGTAATAATATAAGCAAGCACCATTTTGTACTATGAAAACCTCAAAGCACCAGATAATAACCAGACTGTAAAGACCAAATGTAAGCTTCACAAGGAAAAAAAAAAGGTTCACAGACAGAGAAGTAAGAGGTACGACCAGGTCTTACCTGCGGGCAACGTAGTAGAATACTGGGTTGCCGGTCTTGGAAGTTCCTGCCTGGTAGAAAATGTTGAGTGTCTTTAAGGCTTTGAACTCCTCTTTCTCATGGACCTGGTGCCTACAGAACAAGCCAGAGTGCTTAGGATCAGCCAACATTCATTTATTTGACAACCTTTAGTGCCGTTACATTGAATGTCAGGTGTTGTAGAGGAAGATTCTGCAAGGACTACGCATATCATGGCAGTCTTGAGTTTCCAATGACTCCTAGAACTCTGAATTTTTTAATGACGAAATGATTAAAACGCATGCGTCTTCAAAAACGTCATGAAAAGCAAATAATGCATTTTGATTCTCTCATAAATTTATTACAGATCTTCTGGAAACACACTAAATCTGCTGGGTACAAAATATACATGCAGCAATGTCAATTTTTAGTTACGTTTCCTTGGCCATTTTCACTTCAGCCATTTATACGCTTTCTGATACAGACTTGTTACTTCAGACCAGTCCACAGAATCTCGATGGGGTCAGTCAGGATTTTGGGGAGGCCAGTCTAAAACCTTAATTGTAGCCTGCAAATGAGCAAATTCTTTACCACTTTTCAGGTATGTTTTGGCTAATGCCCAACTGCTTCCAAGACCCAAACTTCTGGCTGATGATTTTAGGTTTTCTTGAAGAATGTGGAGGTAAATCTCCTTCACTATTCTATACACTTTAAATAAAGCACCAGCTCCACTGACAGCCCCAGAGTGTAACAGTGTCGCCATTATGCTCAACAGTAGGTTTGGTGTTCTTGGGGATAAAGGCGTCATCTTCTCTCCTCCAAACATATTTTTCTGAACATTGTGGCTAAACAGCAAATTTTTTTGGGATTAATTTGACCACATAATTTTCAACCAGAAGGCCTTTTGTGTTGTCCATGTGATCAGCAGCAAACTTCAGTCGAGTCTTAAGGTGCAGCTTCGAGAGGAAGGGCTTCCTTCTTGCATGGCAGCCTCATCCTCTCAGTCCATTGTAATATAAAACACAGTTGACTGTGGATCATAATCACTCGCAACAAGTTAAGAGGCCATGCCACGAAGAAAATGGGATTAATATAACTGTATACATCACCAAAACTGATAATTTAAGTTGCTGTATGTGTATTTTGCAGATTTTGAGGTCCTATAATAAACTTGCAAAAGAACCAAAATGCATAATTGTTATTGGGATAAAGACACTGGAAACTCAAGACTGCCATGACATGGTCTTTATTAGTGTATGTAAATGTTTTTTGTTTTGTTTTTTACAACTGTAAGTATTTGATAAAAGGATACATTTAATATTTAAGCTGACATTGTCAGATATAAAATATACATATAGCTTTGAATATCACTTTTAAGTTGTATAAGGAGATGTATGTATCAAGGGGTAGCGCACTGCGTGTTCGTATCGTTTCAGCAACACACATTTGCCAACTACCTGCTGACAGGTAAGATAGATAGCTAGGTAGCTAGACAGACAGACAGACTTTATCCATCCCCTTGGAGAAATTCAAGAGGTAACTTGCACGCTCATGACAACAAGTGCAGGTATTGGGACAAATCCATTATGTTACAAGCTGGTGGCAATCCTACCTGGTCATGAACTCCTCAAACTTGGAGCTGGTTAGATTGAGACTGGACCAGTGAGTGTCAGCCACAGGTTTGTGTTCCGGGGGTCCCAAGTAGGCCAGCAGGGTCGCCATCTTGTCAAAAGGCCGCCTGCCTACAGCCTTATGATCCCTGGAAAAAGATCACAATCATTTTATAAAAACATAATCTGACATTAGTCTTCAGCGACAGATAAAATGATTAACCGTACCTGTTGCTGGAGAGATACTGGCCGATCCTCTCCTGGTTATTCCACAGAAGGCGGTGCAGGGCCAGCACATTACCATCACTGATAAAGGACAGACTGTGGTTGACCGAGTCACTAGGTGGAGAATCAGATGCTATGTCCAAGAAAAACCTGTGGTGGAGAGAGGAGAGTACACACTCAGCCTATTTACTGGACAAAATCTACACCAGGCACCTCACTGCTTTAGTTTGCAGAACCTTTGGTATGTTAGAAGTGCATGTCAGACCACACTGCCCAGTGCCTGCAGATGTCAGATTGAAGGTGTTTCTTGCACCAATTACCTGCAACTTTCTGAAATCAACACGCTCACATTCATACCCACTGCAGGCTGTTAAGTGGATATGAGCTTTGCACACAAGTGGTGCTGCTGAAAACAGAATTATGATGTAACAGTATCACATTGTCCTTGAGATTAATGGTATAACTTGACACTTGATAAAGAAAAAACTGACATCCAACATTCCTTACAAATGCAGCTGACATGTATAATGCACTGATAACTCACTGCTGTATGAGTCACAATTATTACCCTACTAAAAATATATACACACTGGCCGAGAAATAAGCCATAAAATAACCTCCAGTGTGTCTTACCTCCTGGCTGAATCAAAGTTGCTTTTCACAAAGTCATTAAAAGGCCTCATGTGTTCTTCTTTTGTAAACAGGACATGGTTTGCAATACTCTGCAGAATCTGAAGAAAAACAAAAGAAATACACAGCACACACATTACAGCAAAGTGAACTGCTGGTGAAATCAGGTCTCCACCTTCACAGTGTCTGGTTTTCTAGAAAGAGATACACGGTCCTGCCTGAGTCACTACGGCCTACTTGCTGCCACAGTGGTTATTGCGATCATGGTATCTTCATGCTAAACCTGCTGAATACTGGTCTGTACTATGATTTGGGGATGGAGCCTTCACCCTGCAGGACTGATTATAACACTCAAGTGCCATCCCATTTTCTTCTACAATTGTAAACAACATATAATAACACACAGACTAGAAGCTGCCATTGTAGGATGAAAGCATCTCTCCAGTCAGCTTCATCACTTAGCATTCATATCAACCAGCCTTACCTTGGACATTAGTTTGAGACCCCGTTCTATCCTAGGTAGGGGCTTCTTGTCCAAGATGCCAGCCTCATACGGAGACACAATGGCTGGGTTGACGAAGCGCAGAAACATGGCGCTGCCCACTGCACCTATGCTGTTCTGTGGGAATCGCTGACTCACCACCTGTGTGAGGGAGGATGGAAGGAGTGGGGGAAGACAACAGAGGGGAAATAAAGGGGATGTGAACAACAGATGGAACAGAAAAGAAAGGTATGAAAAGACGACCCAGTTTGAGCAAAGGGAAGGAGAAAATATTAAAAATGGATTTCAGTACAATAAAGAGCAAAGGGGGCAATGATGAGAATAACAAAATACACATGTATCAGTATGTGTAGCAGAGCTGAGTGAGCTGAGCCATGACCAGAACAGTAAAAGATGCCGAGTTCAGGAGAAAGAAGACACATGAAGAGAGACTTGTAAACAACCCCAGTTCTGTAACAAGAGTGAGAAAGGATCTTACTCCAGTTACAGCCCAAGAAAGATGAAAGAAAGAAAAAGTAAAACAGGGAACCAAACTGTCTCCTCTCTGTTGGTAAATGATGAAAACTGGAAGTTATCACAAAAACAGAAGGCGAATGACAGATGTAGAGCCATGAGTTGTAGTGCAAAGCAGTGGATGGATGAGCTGTACAGGTGACCATCCAAAAACATTACTACCTGCACATCACATCTTGCTTTGAAGAAAAGCAGGGCTGTGTATGACACATTCCAGAGGGGTTACAATGTAACGTCACGAGTTCCAAAATCGGACAGAGTCAGTGCTGTTGAGAGTTCAGTTTGTCCCTCATCAAGCTGCCAATCAGTCCAGAAAATTCAAGCATGATTGCAGATGAAAAAAGCATGTGAAACATCTCTTTTAAGGAATCTGTGTCACTGTTTATTATATTAATCATTAAAAAAAGGGCAAAAAAAAATCCCTCATATAAACGATCAGGCCAGGTCCAGACCAGTCTCAGATATAACGCTAATTACTGTTATCCTCTGTTTCTACATATCTGCTGAGAAGATGTAAGGTACATTTGACACAGTGGTGCCAAGGGTAATTTCAGACTATAACAATTTTAGGCTTATTTTTGTAGTCTTGCTGATCATTTCTCTGAGTAAAAATAACACTAAACTTACTGAGTTCTATTTCAAGCTCTAAACAGGATTGAAATCACAACAAGTCAGATGGGTGGAGACACCCAAACTGTCAGATGATGATGATCAGACAGGTTGAAAGCAAACCTTCAGGTTTGTCAAACTTATCTGGATGATTACTGTTTTTGAAACACAGTTCACAAACTGAACTCCTGCTCCAGATCAACCCTACAGAACATGTAAATATATTTGCAGTTTTCCTGCAGAGTGATGGATTGCTACAAACATTTTGGTTCTGCTCAGATTATGTCCCTGCGCCAAACCGTTTGCCAGCTACTCTGTGCTGTGTGCCCACTTTGTATTTAGTTCATTCAATTTGTTTGTCTACTCTTACCATCATCATTTCTAGTTTCACTGCTACCTATCACTATAGAGGGCTGCAGAGGACTAGGTTAATATTATCCAACCTGAACCTGAAAATATAGAACAACTCATGGACTCATGAACAACTCACACCTTGAATCTGACAGAAGTAAAGCCGCACAGGAAGCATCTTTAGAAACGCTTTGACAGTGGCTGTATGCCAACATTATACTGCATGTATGCATTCTGCTTCACCCGCTTGTCTTTTAAAATACATTGGATGAATTTTTTGTATGTTTCTGATGAAGGTTGACATGGAAAAGATTGGCTTGGGCCACCACAGAATACTTAGCCATCATAAGCAGGGTTTTACATGCAGACATCAGCGCTGCAGAAAGTGACATCTTAGGAAGCACTCAGCAGGTCTACCTAAACAGTGTTTCCAATAAGTCTGATCATCACAATGCTTGTATTAGTTGTCCTGTCGAAATATGTTGTAGCAATGTTGGCACATTTTTTTGATCTAGGCAATCATTGAGTACAGCGTTATCAGACTTCATACAAATGATGAAAAAATGATAAAATCTTGAAAGTATTAGTTGCATATTGTCTGTAATACAATGTCAACAAAGCTGAAAACTGAGGTAACAGCAACCACAATATGTGATATGCAGTCTCTCTATCTTAAAGTGATACTTCACCCAAATTCCATCTTTTGTAAGCTTGATTACACTGAATTCCAGTGGTGACAATTTATGGCTGTGGCCAAAATAATTACTTTGTCCACGACGGCTTCAGTAGCCAAAGCTTTCTTAAAACATGGTCCTGTTGGGGGAAGTATCGGTTTGAGAAACTGACCTGTGAAGTAAAGGAATGTTTTTGTGCTTTTTTTGCTTTTTTTTTTTAAAAATGAAGTAATAAATGAAGAATGAGAAGCACATCAGAAGAAGTCATGTCCGATAAAGGGAGTACTGACGTTAACCGTCACAGCACATATGGAATCTGCATGCATGAGCACATACAACCATACCATCACTGTCCAACAAACCAGATATCTACGTATGCGGAGTTCCCTCTCCCTCTCATTTTAAGCACATTTTGAGTAACATCAACTAAACTTGAATGTCTTTGTTTTCTCTATTGAAAAAGTAGGAAGAATATATGCTGAGTATATCTGACAGAACTTCTCAAACACTGGCAAAATAACCAAATTCAAAGAGTAGAATAGATGCACCAGGGAAAAAACAGGTCTATCAAGCTTCTTTATCAACCTTGTTATACTCCAGCAGTCACAGTAGTAGTGTGTACCTACAATGGGTGCCTAGAGAACTCTCTGAGGTATAATCTCATTTAAAATGTGAGAAGCACCAATATTTGTCATGATTTTGACAAATTAGGTAACTGAATGCTTCTTGGTTGTGCTTGTGAAGGTATGCATGTTCAACATGTACACTCTGTCAGCTCTACCCAAATATACAAACAGCGCCAGAGCTCTGAAAAACAATCCATTATAATTCTAGTTCCAAAAAACCCTGCACTAGAAAAAATAATGACGACAGACCAGGGACTTTAAATTCTAATTTTAGAAAATAGTTGGAGAGGATCATAACAGAGGAGCTCTGTCATGAGGTGGAGTCATCCCTTAATATAATTTATCTACAGAAGAAATTGTAGCACAAGTGACACCATTTCCAAAACACTGCGCCTCATTTTGAAGCACTAAGTCCTGCTACATATGCCAGACTGCTTGTACCTTAATTTAGTTCTGCTTTTACCGCACAACCTCCACACACTGCGTTTAACAAAATGAGTCCAGTTGAAGGTTAATCCTGTTTTTGATTGTCGTAATACTCTTTTTTTATCAAACAGGCTACAAGTAAAACTTAATGCAGCACTTTGACACAGTGGAAAGCAGTTTTCTTTTCTTTTCTTTTCTTTTTACATTTTAAATGACACCCTGTATTACTTCTTAAAATCTTGAATGGTTGTTCTAGGTTCTGCTTTTTTATTTGTTGATATTACAATTTAAATTACATAAGATTTAGGATGAAACTTCAGTTCTCTGAGTTTGTGGCCGAGACCTCCAACAGGCTTCCCATTTGGTTCACACATGGAGTGGCTGGACTTTACTCTAAGGTGGCCGAGACCACTGCTTGGCTCTGGCCTTGACTGGCACACATATTGCAAGTGTCAGTACAAGAATCCATCAGTGCCTGTATTTCTTCTGGAGAGTCACTGTCTTAATGTCTTCAGGAATACTGTGTTAATTTTTTACTGAGCACAGTCCATAAATGTCTGCCATGATGGATTTTTTTTTTTGGCAAATTTGCATAATGTGAAAAACAGTAAAATGACATATTTAGGAGATTCTTGATTTAATATGTGGCATAACGGGATGGGCCGACACATTTTGACCATAAATGGGTAAGATTGTGGATGGGAGTGCAGTGTGTTAATCATTATCTGCTATTTTATGCCTTTGTTCACTTTACTTTGCACATGAGCATCATAACAATGTGCACATCTTTAACAAAAAGTAATCACAATTAGCCTTGTGGAGGCGCAACACTTAGCAGTTAAAAAGGTTACAATTTTAAAAGGTCAACAGTTAAAGACTTGAGTCAGCCGGGAATGCTACACATTTAATTTTAAAACATGAAAAATGTGACCCGGCAGCAGTCATGCAATCAGGTTACATCTGGCATACATTCATCATTTATCGTCTTACAGTGAGAGTTACAAAATCTATGTCCTGCATAAATCAAACTAATACCAATTAGGAAAGGACGTTAAAGATGCTATTCTTGGGAATGAGATCCATTGCAAACTGTGGCAAGTAACAATGTGCATGTTGCACCATACCTTAACTCTATTATGAGTAAACATACATACAAGTCATTAAAGTGGCACTCATGCGGTTGTTTGAATTCACTTGTGTATTCTTGTTCTTTGAAGTTACATTTGGTCTCAAATAACAACAAATTAGATTGGTGATGCCATTACTCTCAAAGGCCAGTGTGTTTGGTCAGCAAATAATGAACATTTAAAGGGTGTCACGTATTGACAAATGTAATGTTTGCAATGTTTACAGTCTTACTGATGTCGAGCAGCCTACTAACTTTTGCAGTGTTAAATCATTCTACTGTGAGTCTAATCAGTGCCATATAGATATTTTAGGTCAGACCTCAAGGCCTTAATAACCTCATCTCTCAGAGTCTATGTTGATTTGCTGTTTAATTACAGTTAAAGGTCACTTCTGATAAAAATCTTTTTTTTCCCCTTCTTTTTATCATGCTTAGTCCATCCGGTGTTGTTTATATGCTAGAGGAGATCTAATGAGCGAAATATGATGGGCTGAAAAACAAGGATTCTAGCACCAACGCTTTCACACTCTACAGACCTAAGGAACCAATCCTTTCAACAAAGCAGGGTGGAGCTTTCTGTATCTATGTTCTTCAGAATCAGTTTAGTAGGTGAGCCAGTGTGCTCGAGTGGCAGGTGGCGATACTGGCAGGGACTTTGTAGATGCACAGTCACCTAGTTACCTTTTCAACTAAAAAGTAATTTTGCTGCACAAAGATGAGTTTTTAAGGGTTCACGTGTTGTCTTCAGCCCACCTAATAGCAGCCACCTTATAGTGAAGTGACATTGTACACAATTTCAGTGGTTTTCAAAACCTATCAACTGACAAGTGACAAATTGAAGGAGCCAACATAAAGCATCTTAGTACGGTGTGGAGCTACCACATGCCTCCACAACAGCCTCGATCTGGTTAGGCATCGATTCCCCAAGTCTCTAAACGCTACTGAAAGAATGAACACCATTCTTTTAAAAGATGTTCCTTTATTGTGTGTTTTGAGCATGGTGTCGAAATGTGACAAAATCTGCTGGGTCAAAAATATGCAAACATGAACTCTAATATTTGCTTAAATGTCCTCCGGCCATTTTCACCTAAACTAGGTGTTTTTGGTAGCCACCCACAAGCTTCTGGCAACCTCTGGTTGTATCTTTACCAATCCTTTTGAAAGAATTGGTGCAGTTCAACTAAATTTGTTGGTTATCTGACACAGACTTGTTTCTTCAACACAGTCCACATGTTCTTGATGGGGTTTAGGTCAAGACTTTGGGGTCATTGTCTTGTTAGAACACGCAACTGCACTGAACACCCAACCTTCTGGCTGATGAGTTCAGGTTTTCCTGAAGAATGTGGAGGTAATCCTTCTTCTATATTTCATTTACTTTATGTAAAGGATGTCAGGATGATCAGACAGTTCTTTTGTCTTCCAGAGAGTGCATCACGCTAACTTTAGGCACTCCATTAAAAAAGAATAAGAAAAAATATACAAGCTACACCAAAGACAATTTTTCAAAAAAAATAACAATGCCCTTAAATTCTCCAAAAAATTTATGAGCCTCAAACAAGAATTTACAAAGCACATGTGGTGCACACGGTCATTCAGATGCAGCATTTATGTAAAGAGTAAGTGGAAGGACATCAAGGAGACAACAGAGGCAGATTGACATACATCTATGTTGTGTTAACGATTTGATCATAACAATCGCAGCTAAATTGTTCTGTCCTGAGTGTATGGGTACAAAGATGTCCTTACAAGAGGAACCTGCAGCAGCCATTAACAGCTTTTTTATGAATAATAATTTTGATTTAAACACAAAGCTCAAAAGAGAGGATAGGACATCCTGGATGTATGTATGATTTACACTATTAAAGTGCACCAATTGCTTAGGATCGGGCCCCTATTGGATATATATTGGATATATTTTTTAGTTGTTTAGGTACAAATAAAGTATGTGAATAACGCAGCTTTCATTTAGGGTTGGGTTGTAAAAAGCTGTTCTTTTAAGGATCTAAGATACTGGACTAAGACACTTTATGTTGGTGTTTCCAATTTTTTATTCAAGTCTGGTACAAATCATTTATGCAATATTTACAGGCTTCTAGTTTTTAGCCAGCAACACTTTTATTGGTTGAAATACAGGGTTACATGTGCTTCCAATAGAGGATTCCATCCTCTGCGGCTAATTTGCTACAATTTACCAGCAAGCCAAAATGAAAAGAAACATCACTATTGCCACAGTCATATTCCTAACCTTACGCTTTAGTGATGTTTATCATCACCTTCATCACCGATGAGTGTATACACAAAGGTAGTGATCATTGTACCATATCACACTCTTTTAGATGGTGCATTTTTGAGAGGAGGAGAGGAGAGAAAGAGGAATTTCCAAGTCCACTTGTTTAAGCGGAAAAGTCAGGTCATAGTGTATCTAAGTGCCAACAAAGTTGCCCATGAGCACCGACATACGAGTGTGAGAGATTCTAAGGGAAAGCATAAAAAAAGGTGAATCTTGAAAAACACTCTCACATTCATATATGGCGGAAAAAAGGACACCATACAGCTGAGGCATCCAACCCACGACAGAGGGAGGCCAATTTATCAGAATATTTCATCTAAAGACCTTTAATATCTTTTTAAAAGCCATGACCGCCGAGGCAGGTGAGGCATGCAGCTGTGTGTGTGTGTGTGTGAGGGTAAAGTTTAATAAAATGAGTCATATAAGATGGAGAAACATGATTTTCGTGTAGATGAAATGTTCTGAGAAAATGTCTCCTGGAGTGCAAACACAGATCCAGAAAGAAAAGAGAGAATGCTGTTGCTTCCGGGAAACTGTTAATTGAAAAAACATTAAATGGCGCCAATATTAGTACAGTGATTTTCAGAGAGGGTTGTACACAAAGTTGAATATGGAGAAAAGAATAAAACATTTCCAGAGACACACCAAATTAAAACCAAATTTAAAAAAATAAGTAAATGAAGAAATTAAAAACAAATCAAATGAATAAAATGCAAAAAATGCTTTTTTGCTTCAGGGGAAAGGTGTCTGAGGGAAAATAGATTCTCCAAACTTACTGCTTTTTTGTTTTCCTTTTTTTCTTTTACTGTTGCTTTATTCAGTAGAGAGTGGCAAGTAGCCTACAGAACAGAGATGAGCACAATCATGGTCACAGCACCAGCTATATACACTCTCACACACACGCACATACATCCACAACACACACACACGCACACGCACACAACTCTAACCATTCAAGGTGTACATACATTCATATCTAGCAAAAGACACAAAAAACAAAACTGCTGTTAGAAATCACTGCTTTGGAGAAGCGTGCCCATGCATGCGCTGGCGTGCTTTAACTTCAGCAGACTGTTACTGTGTGTATGTGGGAGTGTGCATGTGCCTACACATCTGAAAGAGGAAATCCAAGATGGAGAACAAGAAATTAAAGATTTCAACACATGAAATATAAAAAGCCTGTCCTCAAAAACCCAGACCACTTTGTATGAGAGTGGCTATGAATCTTGCTAAACTTCAATAATTGCAACACCTTAACAGCAAGCTCTATTCATTTAGTGCTTAAGTGTGAGCAGACAGTGCTGTGGAGTTCCCTTTCCACTGCAGTGAGGCCATGGCAGCAATGGCGGAAGCTGCTTGAGCATTTAGGTGGAAAAGATAGGAAAGTCAAACTCAGTGTTCAGAAAATGATCAGTATATATTGAGACTATACTATAATATAACAGTGTAGATATATCTGGTGATACAGGCAAGTCAGTTGTCATGTTCCTATGCTGTGATCACACCCAAACCACTGTTAGATTTGGGCATAGCAGTAAGGACCCCTGTCAATATCAAGGTCTTAGTGAAATGTCCCCTCCCAAAATGCATCTGAAACAATTCTGAAATGTTAACTCCAAATAAAACAATTTCAATGGGCGGAAAAAGAGGGAGATGTCAGGGGCACCTGAGCTGATGACCAGGCTAATCTCAGGCTGTAGCATGCTATCTGAAGCAAATCTGGAATTTGATGGTATTTACATTTTAAAACATTCTACCATTATTGACTTTATCATAATGTCTTTGTTGGATAGAACTAAAATCGGTTCTATTTTAGAGGTCAAGTTTTCATTACATCAAGCATCTCTACAACTGTAAATAAAAATTCCCACCAGGAAGCGACACATGCAGGACAGTGACATCATGTCCTTCCGTAAAAGATCCAGAAAATGAATTAAATCCAAACCTATACCCTCGGTATCACTGGTTATGACTTCCATTTGTGCAGCCAACAGGCTTGGGCAGTATATATTTTTCATATCTTAAAACTTTCCCAGCATAATACCACAATACATGCTATATATGTATAAAAAAATAAAAATAAAATTAATTATTTTAAGAGCAGTAGACATTGTCACATACATCGATGAGCTCACAAATGACGTGCGTAGCATTTATCATCTTGTTAGAATGGCATCTGTCAAGGTGTTGGGTATATTAGGCAGCAAGCAAGTGGTTGGTTCTTGAAGTTGATGTGTTGGAAGTAGAAAAAAATCTTCAAGTGTGAGGATACGAGCAACTTTGCCAAGGTTTAAATGGTGAGGGCTAGACAACTGATTGAGAGGGTCTTCAAAAGGGCAGATCTTCTGGGGAGTTTTCAGTACACAGTGGTTAAGCCCCAGAGTTCCTACAGCTTAAGGCAAGTTAAATATAACACTTTTTTTTTTTTTTTAAAGATATTTCTTGGGCTTTTCCACCTTCAATGATAGTTGATAGTGTAGAGAGACTGAGAAACGTGGAGAGGAGAGTGGGGGAATGACATGCAGCAAATGAGCTGCTGGCTGGAATCGAACCGCGGCCGCTGCGTTGGGGACTATAGCCCCTGTACGTGGGTCGCCTGCCCTACCCACTGAGCTATCTGGGCGCCCAATATAACACTTTTTTTAAGCCACTCTGAAAAAAACTTGAGACCAACTGAACTTCTATTTTCTGTGACTTGTGATAATAATACCTGGACTGCACATGGGTCACCACTGGCTGACATGTAGATCCAGTTGTTTGTTTTCATAGTTTGGTTCAGGCTATCATGAACATCAAAACAAACACATTCTTGGTAGCATTTGTAGCAAGCGGATCTGAGATGTACAGGGCTAATCAAAACTTGCTGATTTACGCTATCTTGTCGGAACTGCATACAATCAGGTGGCCCAACAACAATGACAGCAATCACGGTGGTAGAGCTGCCAGTTTACACAACAAAGGGTCTGCCATGTCAGAAGTGACTCAAGAGGTTAATGACGGCGTAGCTTTCTGGGGAGAGATCTTATCACTGTGTTATAGGTGCCTGGTAGGTGGAATCGCAGGGCCCCTCCTTTGTTTGGAGTTGTTCCAATTTGACACAGATGATTATGATGTCAATTGTAAGAATTTAGTGTACGTGCCTTTTAGAGCAGCAGGAGAAGCAGGCTTTTTTTAGTGTTTCTGTATAAAGTTTGGTTTTTGGTAGGCAGAGGTTGAGCATGCATTACCACCTCACAAGAGCACTTTGACTGAGGGGTCAACCGTTGGGTTTTTTAAGGCCAGTGTTGATATTAATTAATGATAATGGAGAAAGGCCAATGACAGACAGTTGGAACCGATATACAATAAACAGTTATTAACAGCTTGTGATAGTACAGAAGCTGTCATTTGTAACTAGTTTGTTCATTAATAAGGATTACTATTGCCGAAATCTGGAACGGATATTTGGATATTCAGGTCCAGCCCTAGTACAGCCCTAGTACAGCTGTAGCTCTTCTCTGTTTTGTTAATCCTTCTCTGTACTGTCACTCTTTTTTTGCCCATTAGGGGCCCCGTCTTAAAGCATTATTTGTCATTATTTTCCTGACGCTGTTTTGGGGTAACCTGTGATTACAGACTAACTTAGCTGCGAACTGTTAGCGTTGCCTTATCCACTGTGAAAACAGTTAATGTCCTAATTGGTGGAGATGGCTGTGCTTCTTGTTCAGTTTTTGCAAAATGTGTCTCTGCTAGCGGGATGTGTCCATCACAGATTGTTTACTTTAAGAAGATGTCAAGGTACTCTAGGAAGTGTTAGCCACAGGCGAAGAGGCACAGCAAACCTCTCAGTTTTAGCTGTACATCAGCTAATACCTAAACACCAAAAAGTGAATTTATTGGGGCCTTTTCTGTATAACAGGCACACTAGGCATGCTTGTGTAAGACTGCAGTGTTTATTACAACTTTAGCAGTGTATATAAAACAACAGACATCTGTACTATGAAGCAAGTTTGACAAAGCCAGACTTTCTTTCTGTAAGTTGGCTCAACAAAACCTAAAACCCCAGCCAGAAGTCAAGATGGCGCTGCTGAACCAGCCTGCTCTTGTACCTGCTCGGGTGTTACTTCTGTATGTTGTCTTTTCTTCTTCTTTTTTTTTTTTTCTTTTTCACCATTTTCAACCTTCTGACCTTTTAAATTAAATACGACAGAGACACATTTTTAAATATCAGCATAGATTACTCACAAAATATCATCCAACCCGATCCCCACTGGCCAAGGGAGATTCTGCGGCACACCAACAACAACAACAACAACAACAGTGGAGGACGTGCTAGCCAGGAGACACGGAGGAGGCCCAGAGGATGCCGAGCCAGCATCAGAAACCGGCTGAGGAAAAGGGCACGGACCCACCACTACTCAGCATCTTGTTGGCTAAACTCCAGTCCCTAGAGAATAAACTGGATGATCTCTGTGCCAGGATCAAGTTCCAGAGGGATATAAGGGGTTGCACCATTATCTGCCTGACCGAGACATGGGTGACTCCCATGGTCCTGGACCAATCAATCAATGGAGTTCTTCACAGTTCATCGATGGAGGTGCGTGTCTGATGGTGAACAACTGGTGTGATAGCAGGAACGTTTTTCTCTCTCCCAATGCTGTTCAGCAAACTTGAAGCTTCTTACAATAAAATGCTGCCTATTCTACCTCCCTCATGAGATCACCTCCGTCATCTTCGGTGGCATTTATATTCCACCTCAAATGGACACAGACACTGCTCTCTCTGACATTCATGAGGCCCTTGCTAGTCACCAGGCTAACCACCATGATGCACCTTCAACAGCACATTACATGCCCCACCAGAGGTGACAGGACTTTAGACCACTGCTACACACCATTCAGAGAGGGGTACAAAGTCAAATCTCTCCCTCTGTTTGGTAAGCCTAGTCCTTCTCCCTGAACGACAACCACCCAAAAGCTTTGACATCTGTGGTGATGATTTGAGTGGCTGGTCAAAAACTTAATCACCTCCTCCCTACCTGACACCCTGGATATACAGCTGGGCCCTCACCCTCAACACCTGAGCCCCCAAGGCTGTGTGATAAGGCCCCGCTTTACTCCCTGTACACCCACAACAGCGTGAAGAAAGTGAAGAAGTCCCATCAGCGTCTCTACCACCTCAGACGTTTGCAAGACTTCAAGCTCACCGTCAGGGTGCTCAGGAACTTCTACACCTGCATCACAGAGAACATTCTGGCAGGTAGTATCACCACCTGGATGGCCACCATACCCACTTGCTGGACATCCACAACAAACGGTGCAGATCCAGGCCCTTGAAAATCATCAAGCAGCCCAGTCACCCGGGAAACAGAATGTTTTCCTAGCTGCCGTCAGGTAGACGCTTCCGCTTTCTGAAGGTCAACACAGAAAGGATGCGGAGGAGCTTCTTTCCTGAGGCCATCTACATTCTGAACAAGAACTAGAACAAGGACTTTGCTGGACACACATCCACATTGTACACAATATACACACTTCACTACACTCATACTACATATTGCACATGACATACACATACATTCATACATGCTTTTTGCACATGTCATACTGTTAAAGAAGTGCACTCTATACTCACAAATGTATAAATCACAATACTACAGTCAGTTTATATTTAAATCTTAATACTCAGTTGTAAATATTGTTACACATTTTCTGTATATTTTGTTTAGTTTATATCTTTTCAGGCTCTCTTTATCTACGCAGGCTCTCCATTTTTTGCTCCCTTGTCTTTTTTTTTAACCAACCCCTCATGTGTGTGCTGTCACTGTGTGTACAAGCCGGATCAGGTGCACCAAACATTTCAC